GAATATTTTGAAAAATTTTATATTTGGAAATCAAGACCTTGAAAATAGAAGATGCAAAATCCAAATATAGAAAATTAAAGAAGTCAGAAAATCAGATAATTGAGAAATCCAAAAGACTGAAAGTTAGTGTCATTTTATAAAATAAATTATAAATTCGAAAAAACAGCAACAGTAAAAAATAAAGGAAATGAAAGAACTAAAAAGACAAAAAAGGAATAATTAATAAGTGCGGAAAAGGAAAAATAAAAATCGACAACTTGAAAAAATGAGGAAAGGAAAAATTGAAAAACTGAGAAATTAATAATTGGGAAACTGCAAAATCGAAAGAATGAAAAATTTCAAGTTGAAAAATTGAAGAAAGCAAAAATTGTAACATCAAAAAAAAGGTTGAACGAATTTTAAAAATCAAAAAATTTGGTCGAACGAGAAGTCTAAAAAGCGAAAAGTCAAAAAAATTTAAAAATCGACATTGTAAAATCGTAAAATTTAAAAAATCCAAAAAATTGAAAATCGAAAAATCAAAAATAAAAATTCAAAATTTAAAAAATCGGACGATTGAAGAATCGAAAAACTGAAAAACTGGGAAAATGAAAAATTCCAAAAGTCGAAATTAAAACAACTCGAGTAAACGAAACATCAAAATATCGGAAAAGTGAAAAATTAAAACATGTGCAAATTAAGAAATTGAAAAATCCCGAAATTGGAAAATTCTCAAATTGGATGTTGATAAATTTTAAAAATCAAAAAATTGAAAAATCGAATGACTAAGATGTCAAGAAATCGAATGAAAAAATCGTTAAATCGAAAAATGTAAAATTTAAAATATCCAAAAATTGAATAACCATTCAACTGAAAAATAAAAAATTCGAACATTCGAAAAATTTTAAATTTGAAATATCGAAGAATTGAAAAATCCAAAATTTGGAAACCAAAAATTTGAAAAATTTAAAATTGCAAATAAATCGATAAATTGAAAAATCGAAAAATTGTAAAATCGAAACAACAAAAATCGTATCAAATTTAAAAAACCGAAAAGTCGAACACTCGAATAACCGAATATATGAAAAATTTCTATACCAAAATATTGAAAAATCGAAAAATTGAGAAACAAAAAAAATGGAAAGAGAAAAATTGAGAAACTGAACAACCGAAAGATAGAAATCTCGATGAATTGAAAAATCGAAAAATCAAAAATTTTAAAAATCGAACAATTGAAGAACCGAAAAATCGAAATCCGAAAAGCCGAAAAATCGAAATCCAAAAAGTCGCACCAAAAATGAAAAAGCGAGCAGTCGAAACAGCAAGAAACTGAGAAATCACAGATTTAAAAATTCGAAAAATTAAAATATCGAAAAAATCGAAAAATTGAAAAATTGAATAACCAAAAAAGTGAAAAATATCGAAAAACTGAAAAATCGAAAAACTGAGGAATCGGAAACTTGAAATATCGAAAAATCTTGAATATAAAAAGTCGAAAAACTGAAAAATAAAAAAAAATGAAAAATCGAGAAACAAAGATCAAAAAAAGTAACGAATGGAAAGACTGAAAAATCAAGAAATTGAAAAAATTCCAAAACATAAAAGACGTAAAATTGGGAACAGAAAAATTGAAAAATCGAATCATCGAAAAATTAGAAAATCAAAAAGCTGAAAAGTAAAAAAAATCAAAAAACCGAGCAATGAAAGAATGGAAACATCGAAAAATTAAGAAACTGATCAACCGAAAAATAGAAATCTCGATAAATTGAAAACGGAAAATCAATAATTTTAAAAATCGAAAAATTGAAATCCGAAAAGTCGAAAAACAGAGAAATCGGAAAATTGATATATCGAAAAATCAAAAATTTAAAAAATCGAGAAAATGAAAAACCAAAAAGTTCTGAAATCAAAGAAATGTAAAATCTAAAAATTGGAAAATTAAAATCGAAAAATGAAAAACTGAAAAATCGGAAAATTAGAACTAGAGAAACTAAAAAACAAACAAAATTCAAAAAAAAATTGTAAGACTGATGAAACGAAAAATTGAAAATTTTGGAAGTGTCAAAATGGAAAAAGCGAGTAATCGAAAAATCTTTAAAAAATTGAAAAATTAAAATACTAAAAAGTGAATATTGAACTTCATAAAATCGAAAAGTGAAGAACAGAAAAACTGAAAAATTAAGAATTGAAAAAAATCCCAATCAGAAAGTATGAAAAACCGAAACATGAAAAAATTGAAATATCGAAAAGCTGAAAAGCCAAAAAATCGAAAAATCGGGAAATGAAAAAATGGAAAGAGAAAAATTGAGAAACAACAATCGAAAGATAGAAATTCGATGGATTGAAAAATCGAAAAATCAAAAATTGACTAAAGAAACCAAAAATTGAAAATTATGGAAGCGGAGAAATTGAAAAATTTAAAGTCGAAAAAACCAAAAATTGAGAGTGAAAATTGCAAAAGCGAAAAAGTTTAGAACGAATATTTTGAAAAATTTTATATTTGGAAATCAAGACCTTGAAAATAGAAGATGCAAAATCCAAATATAGAAAATTAAAGAAGTCGGAAAATCGGATAATTGAGAAATCCAAAAGATTGAAAGTTTGTGTAATTTTATAAAATAAATATAAATTCGAAAAAACAGCAACAGTAAAAATAAAGGAAATGAAAGAACTAAAAAGACAAAAAAGGAATAATTAATAAGTGCGGAAAAGGAAAAATAAAAATCGACAACTTGAAAAAATGAGGAAAGGAAAAATTGTAACATCAAAAAAAAAGGTTGAATGAATTTTAAAAATCAAAAAATTTGGTCGAACGAGAAATCTAAAAAGCGAAAAGTCAAAAAAATTTAAAAATCGACATCGTAAAATCGTAAAATTTAAAAAATCCAAAAATTGAAAATCGAATAACCAAAAAAGTGAAAAAATATCGAAAAACTGAAAAATCGAAAAACTGAGGAATCGGAAAATTGAAATATCGAAAAATCTTGAATATAAAAAGTCGAAAAACTGAAAAATCAAAAAAAATGAAAAATCGAGAAACAAAGATCAAAAAAGTAACGAATGGAAAGACTGAAAAATCATGAAATTGAAAAAATTCCAAAACATAAAAGACGTAAAATGGGGAACAGAAAAATTGAAAAATCGAATCATCGAAAAATTAGAAAATCAAAAAGCTGAAAAGTAAAACAAATCAAAAAACCGAGCAATGAAAGGATGGAAACATCGAAAAATTAAGAAACTGATCAACCGAAAGATAGAAATCTCTATAAATTGAAAACGGAAAATCAATAATTTTAAAAATCGAAAAATTGAAATCCGAAAAGTCGAAAAATCGGCATCCAAAAAATCGAAAGAGCGAACAATTATCAAAGATTAAAAAAAAATTGAAAAATCGAAAAACTGAAAAACCAAAAATTTAGAAATTCAAAAATTCAAAAAATCAAAAATTTAAAAATCAAAAAGCCGAAAAATCTAAAAACAGAGAAATCGGAAAATTGATAAATCGAAAAATCAAAAATTTTAAAAATCGAAAAAATTAAAAACCAAAAAGTTGTGAAATCAAAGAAATGTAAAATCGAAAAATTAGAAAATGAAAATCGAAAAATGAAAAACTGAAAAATCGGAAAATTAAAACTAGAGAAACTAAAAAACAGGGAAACATAAAATCCAAAAAAAAATTGCAAGACTGATGAAACGAAAAATTGAAAATTTTGGAAGTGTCAAAATGGAAAAGCGAGTAATAGAAAAATCTTTATAAAATTGAAAAACTAAAATACTAAAAAGTAAATATTCGAAAAATTGAAAAATCGAGAAACTGAAACTTCAAAAAATCGAAAAGTGAAGAATAGGAAAACTGAAAAATTAAGAATTGAAAAAAATCCAAAACAGAAATAATGAAAAACAGAAACATGAAAAAATTTAAATATCGAAAAGCTGAAAAAGCCAAAAAATTGAAAAAGCTAGAAATAAAAAATGGAAAGACAAAAATTGAGAAACAACGATCGAAAAATAGAGATCTCAATGGATTGAAAAATCGAAATATCGAAAATTGACTAAAGAAACCAAAAATTTAAAATTATGGAAGTGGGGAAATTGAAAAAATTTAAAGTCGAAAAAAACAAAAATTATGAAACCTAAACATTGACAAATGGAAAAAATTATAAAATCGAAAAGTGAAAACTGCGAAAACGAGAAAGTTTAGAACGGAAATTTTGAAAAATTTAATATTTGGAAATCAAGACCTTGGAAAATAGAAGAAACGAATAAGGATTTAAAATTGAGAAACTTAAAAATCGAAAAAAATGCAAAATCCAAATACTGAAAATTAAAGAAATCGGAAAATAGTATAATTGAGAAGGAAATAAAAGAACTAAAAAGACATAAAAAGAATAATTAAAAATTCCGGAAAATGAAAAATAAAAATCGACAACTTGAAAAAATGACACAAGGAAAAATTGAAAAATCGAGAAATTAAAAATTGCAGTAAACAAAAATTGCAAAATTGAAAATTTCAAGTTGAAAAAATAAAGAAAGCAAAAATTGTAACATCAAAAAAAGGTTTAATGAATTTTAAAAATCAAAAAATTTGGTCGAACGAGAAATCTAAAAAGCGAAAAGTCAAAAAAATGTAAAATATCGACATTGTAAAATCGTAAAATTTAAAAAATCCAAAAATTGAAAAATCTGTAAACTGAAAAACAAAAATAAAAATTCAAAATTTAAAGAATCAGACGATTGAAGAATCGAAAAACAGAAAAATTGGGAAATTGAAAAATTCCAAAAGTCGGAATTTGGAATACATCGAAGAGCCTAAAAATCTAAAACTCGAAAAACTCAGAAAATCGAAAATTTAATCATACGAAATATTTAAAAACAGAAATATCGAAGAATTGAAAATCGGAAAATTGAAAAACCAAAAAGCTGAAAAATTCAGAAATTGAAAAATCCCAAAATCCAAAATTTGGAAACCGAAAATTTGAAAACTTTAAAATTGAAAAGGAAATAACATAAATTTACAAAAATATGTTAAATATTTATTTTATTTCAACTTCTAAATACATCTTTGAAAAAAATCACACACTGACCTGTACAATAAACGTAGAAACGGTCCACAGAAAATTCAAGACCTGCAAAAAAACCGTTAGTATAACTCTCTAAATTTTCCCTATAAGACATTACCGTGGGAAGGAAGGAATATTGACAAAGCACGAAACCTGGCTGCCCTAAATGGAACGATTTTTGCAAATTCAGCATAAAAAAAATCAGCACCCTCCTATTCCTGCAGTCCCAAATAATCCACGGAAAATTTAGAGTGTTCTCGTACATCCTGTCATACTACAACAGTCAAATACAAACTTCGCTTCAAACCACAACTCCTAGTACCTCATTTTTGACAATCTGTCCAATGTGGACGACCAGCATGGGCGTAATTGTAGACACAATCATACTACAAACTGCCAGAAAAAACTCGAACGTGCTGTGATCCTAAAAACTTCTTTAAAGCGACACTCGTCGAAGAGAAATACTTACAATCAACACATTAAACAACATACTGATAACAGCCGCTACACTTAGATAAAGCAACAGCACCAAAGATGGAAGAAGTTTCGCATTGAGTTTCTTTTCTATTCTAAAACACAAAGTTATGAAAAGTTGGTACGCACGCAAATGCTTTGAGCCTATGGGCGGATCATTTTTGCCTGTCGTCACAGAAGGAGGCGGCCCAAATCGTCCAAGGGCAGAATTTGTAGGTAGGCTCAAACTACAACGAAATTTACGTGTTGACCAAATTCTTACCCTAAATTAGTTTTAATTTTATAAATACTTACTCTGAATTAGTTTTAATTTTATAAATACCCTATCTAAAATGTTCAGAATATGATGAGTCTATACTTTTTGATTTACCATTCCATTAATATTTGTTGGATTTGTTTATACATACAGGGTGACTCTATAAAAAAATAATGACTGAGTCAATTTATTTTATTGAAGAAATCAAGAATTGCAAAACTGAATACATAGAAATCTTGTCAATTAGTTAGAAAAAAAAAACCTGTCCTGCTCTAATAACATCGAGAATATGCTCAAAATCACACTAATATTGGGTCTAATTGTGCCGACCATAGTTATAAAATTCACATTAAAGTAAGTCACGGACATTTTTTGAAGTGTATTACATTTCAAAAAACAAAAAAAATGTTCAGTTTATAAACTTCATAATTTTGGTTTAAAGTTTATCAATCATATTTGACGCTTTACTTTATCCGTTCCATTTGTTATCCTTTACTGCAGTCTCTCTTGGGTCGAGGTGTAAGACCAGACCGAACGTTCTTCGACCGATACGATAATTTATTACTTCCGACATCTTTTCGGTGACAAATTTAATCTTTGCATATTTCAGCGTAGTTAGTGAACTCGTTGTGACCACTGAAATATACAAAGAGTAAATTTTGAAATGGAACGAAAGTCGAAGAATACTTTCAAAGCCACGATCAAAATGTATTTGCTTATCTTCGCCAAAAAATGCATGACGTCATCGTAAAATTTGATATGATGAGTCTATACCTGTGATTTATCATTGCAGTAATATTTTTTAGATTTACTTATACAGCTTGTCTCAAAAAAAGGTCACTTCGATTTTCGATTTTTCGTTTTTTCGACCAACAGTTTCATCGAATTAGATTTTTCAGTTTCCATTTTTCTATCAACTTTTCGATTTTATTACTTTCCAATTTTCTGATTTTTCGAGTTTTCAGTTTTTTCGTTTTTCGATTTTTTAATTTTTCGTTTTTTTGATTTTTCGATGTTTCGATTTTTTGATTTGCCATTCTTTCAATTTTCGATTTTTCGTCTTTCCATTTTTAGATTTTTGGATTTTTCTGTTCGTCAGCTTTTAGACTTTGCAATTTTTTTGCATTTTTCGATTATATTTTACTTTCCGATTTTTTTGATTTTTGAATTCTCGATTTTTCAATTTTCCGGTTTTTTAATTCTTCTATTCTCGATTTTTCGATTTTCCATTAATCATTAAATTTTCCATTTTTGGGTTGTTTTATTTTCGACCTTCGATTTTTCAACTTTCGATTATTCGATTTTCCATTTTCTGATTTTACGATTTTTCGATTTTCGTTTTTCCGCTTTTGTGGTTTTTAGATTTTTCTGTTTGTTTCAGTTTTTATGGTTCTGCGATTTGTTTTATTTTTCCATTTTTCGATTATTTTACTTTCCGATAGTTTGATTTTTGAATTTTCGGTTTTTCCATTTTTCGATTTGGGATTTTTCCATTTTTCGGTTTTTTAATTTTTCATATTTCGATTTTCGATTTTTCAGATTTGTGAATTTGTGTCCGTTTTTTCGATTTTTAGAAAACTGATTAATCGAATTTTCGATTTTTGAGCATTTCGATTTTTCGATTATCATTTTTACGATTTTTCAAAATCTCGATATTCGAGTTTTCGATTTTCCATTTTTCAAATTTTCAATTTTTAATTTTGCTTTCTTCGATTGTTGCTTTTTAGAATTTTCCCTTCTTCAGCTTTTAGATTTCAATTTTGTTACTTTCCGATTTTCCACTTTTCGATTTTTTTATTTTTTTTTCGATCGTGTTTTTTCGATTTTCATTTTTCCGATTTTTTGATTTTTCAATTTTTAGGCCTTGCAATTTTTTTTACTTTTCGCTTTTTCGAGTATTTGTTTCATCGAATTTTCGATTTTTCGAGTTTTCGATTTTCGATTTTTCGGTTTTTCCATTTTCCGATTTTCCATTTTTAGATATTTTTCGATTTTTTTTGATTTTTCGATTTTTCTGTTCGTCAGTTTTGAGACTTCGCAATTTTTACTTTTCCACTTTTCTATTATTTTAGTTTTGGATTATTCGATTTTTGAATTTTGGTTTTTTTTTCATTTTTCGATTTCCGATTTTTTAATTTTTCGATTTTTCGGTTTTTTAATTTGTCGATTCTCGATATTCCGATTTTCGATTTTTCGATTTTCCAATCTTCGATTTTTCAATTTCCAGTTTTCGATTTTCCACTTTTTGATTTTACGATTTTTGGATTTTTCTGTTCGTCAGTTTTTAGGCTTTGCAATTTGTTTACTTTTCGATTTTTCGATTATTTTACTTTCCAATTTTTTGATTTTTGAATTGTCGACTTTTAGAGTTTTCAATATTATGAATTTTCGAATTTTCGGTTTTCCTATTTTTCGATTTTTGATTTTTCCATTTTTCGGTTTTTTGATTTTTCAATTCTCGGTTTTTCAATCTTGCAAAGTTTCGATTTTTCAGATTTGTGAATTTCCAGTTTTTCGATCGACCTACGTATTAGATTCATTGAATTTTCGATTTTCGGTTTTTCCATTTTTAGATTTTTGATTTTCCAGTTTTGTATTTTCAGATTTTCTGTTTTTCGCATATCTGATTTATCAAATTTTCGATTTTTCGGCTTTTCGATTTTTCGATATTTGATTTTCGAATTTTCGATTGTTCAGTTTTCCATTTTTCAGCTTTTAGACTTCAATTTTTTTACTTTTCGATTTTCCAAATTTTCGAGTTTCAATTTTCAGATTTTTGATTTTTCGATTTTCTTTTTAAATCTTTGAATTTTTCGGTTTCGATTTTTCGAATTTTTGATTTTTAATTTTTCCATTCTTCGGTTTTTAGACTTCAATTTTCTTTCTTTTAAATTTTTCGATATTCTATTTTCCGCTTTTCAGAATTTTCGATTTTCAGTTTTCAGACTTTCGATCATTAGAATTTTGGATTTTTCAGTTTTATGATTTTTCGATTTCTAGAAAATTTGAGTAGTCGCATTTTCGATTTTTCAATTCATCGATTTTTCCATGTTCAATTTTTCAATTTAAATTTTGCGATTTTCAATTTGTCCATTGTCGATTTTTATAGTCTTCGGTTTTTCAATTTTTCTATTCTCAACTGTTAGACTTCAATTTTGTTACTTCCCGATTTTTTGGTTTTCGATTTTCCAATTTTCGGAATTTCCAAGTTTCTTTATTCAGATTTTCGATTTTCCACTTTTTCGATTTTAGATTTTTCGAATTTTTGTTTTTCCAAATTTTTGCTTTTTCGATTTTTCTGTTCGTTTCAGTTTTTAGGCTTTGCAATTTTTTCTACTTCATATATATTGATTATTTTAATTTCCGATTTTTTTTATTTTTGTTTTTGATTTTTTTAATTTGCAATATTACTTTTCGATTTTTTGGTTTTCCCGTTTTTCAATTTTCGATTTTTCGATTTTTGAGGTTTGTAAATTTCCACTTTTCGATCGACCTAGGTATTTGATTGATTGAATTTTCGATTTTTTAATTAGCCATTTTATTTTTTTGATTTTTACGATTCGTATTTTTCGATTTTCTGTTTTTTGCATTTGTGAATTTCATTTTTTCCGATTTTTGATTTTGCGCATATTAATCAAATTTTCGAAAAAGTTACCATGCTTACAAAAACTTCAAAACATCTACAATATTTCAAAGTATTCAATTTTGCTATTCTTGATTTCTTCAATAAAATAAATTGACTCAGTCATTAACTTTTTTGAGACACCTGTACAACCAAATCTAAAAAATATTAATGCAGTGATAAATCACAAGTATAAAAACTCATCATATTTTATACATTTAAGATAGGATTTATTCTGCAAAATTTTGAGGTGACGTCATAAATATTTTAGAGGGGACACTCGACAATATCGTTTTTTTTTTATTTATTTATTTATTATGAACATTTAAGAGTATTTTATTGGAAAAAGTGATGAAATTTTTTATACGGAACAATTGGTCGAAAGAAGTTAGAAAGCAAAATAATTCCTGTCCGGACCATCGTTACTCAAAAACGAAAGTGACCATTATTTTATGGGAACAGCTACCTGCTAAATCTTCTCCGACAAATTCGAGAGAACTGGTGTGAGCCATAAATATTTCTTACCAAATGTAAATTTCGTTGTAGTTTGAGCCTACCTACAAATTCTGCCCTTGAAGGATTTGGACCGCCTTCTTCGGTGAGGGCAGGCAAAAACGATCCGCCCATAGGCTCAAAACATTTGCGTGCGATTGTACCCACAAAGCACACGAACAGTTTGATCGGTTGGTGTCTTTCTATACAGTTTTTCAGTTGCTCGAAGACTTCTTCTTGGTAGTTCTGGTCCTTCAATTTAGCATAGTCGTCAATAATGAGGTCGTAGTCGACGAAAATTTGTTCCAAGTGGCCATTAATCAGAAACATGTAGAACCTGAGGTGCATCAGAGTGTAAATAATCACACCTCCATTGATAAAAGCAACGTAGGCTAAAATAGGCAAGGTGCTAAAGTACACCAAGCAGAAATAATCCGCCATTTTGGTAAAAGTTCTTTTGAATAAAACCACCCCGTATACGAACTTCTCGTTACCGAAGAGTCTAAAATACGAAGCCGAGTAAATTAAAAGAACACTCAGTGTCCCGATTTCGGCCAGAGTGACCATTTTCGACTCGAAAAGAATCCTTCGAGTGATCTGCAGTGGAAGTCGTTCCAGGGTTCGAAACCTCGACATGGCCAGTTTAATGAAGAGCTTTGACAACAGCTCTTGTGTGCTCAGCACTGTGGCGATGTTCACCAGACACTGGAAGTAAGAAAAACTGTGGTAAAATAACATCGATTAACACTGGTGGAAGACTTACAGAGCAGCTGATCAGAAAGCATGGTCCGTACTGAAGCAACTGCTTACCGTCGAAAGTTGAAAGCAAATCGATCACTTGTACCACTCCGATCGAACTATGAAAAAGAAAAATCGAAATTAAAACGAACTTGACGAAACGCAAACGCATCACTCCGAATGTCATCAAGTATAAAGTTTTTAAAGTGTCTTTGGGAAATGGGGCTTGGAGGTTTGGAGGTTCCATGGGGGTTAAACATCAATGTAGTCACTAATGGCACTGAAACCGGGTTGGATTTACCTTGGTTTGAGGTCGAGTTCTAGTCATTATCCTAATGACTATAACTGTATCAAATATTTAAGAGTATTTTCTTCGAGGTTCTATTTGTTTTGTGAAGTATATTATTAAGATAAACTGTACGCATGTTATGTTTTGTTCGTTATGGTTATTTTTAAAAAGGGAGATCAATAAACTTATTTACTTTTAAAATGTATTTATTAAAAAAAAAGTCTTAAGTAAGATTGGTTTAATATTGTTTCATTATTAACGAGATTTTCACAATTGGTCAAAGGCTTTTTGCGCTAATTCTTCGATTTCATTCGTGGTTGGAGAAAAATACCATTTAATTTTAGAACAAAAAAAAATACTCCTATACTTGTGGGGTATGAATCCGTGTTGAGTTTTCACCATAGACATCCAGGTTTTTTGAAAAAATCAAAATTGTATAATAAAGTAATCGTGATCATGGTAAATCGCTCATAAAACTTATTCATTTGTCCCGTGACAAAAAAATTGATGACGTTATCACAAACCTATTTTTTGACATCACTTTTTTTTATTTTTCAGTTTCTACACGTCTAAAATTTTCAACTTTTCGTTTCTTCAGTCTTGTAGTTTTTCAATTTTGCACTTTTTCGATTTTACAATTTTTTGTTTTTTTTAGTTTCTTTTTTTTCAGCTTTGAATTTTTCAATTTTTCATTTCTTCAATTTTTGACTTAAAGTTTTTCTATTTTATAATTTTTCTGTTCTGCAGTTTTTTATTTTTTTGATATTGCAGTTTCCCAATTTTTAATTTTTCGATTTTTCTTTTCTTCGATTTTTCAAGTTGTCCATTTTTATTTTTCATTTTCCGAATTTATTAATTATCCTTTTTATATCACAATTTTTAGTTCCTTCATTTCCTTTATTTTTTCAATATTGATTTTTTTCGGTTTTGTAATTTATTTTATAAAGTTTTACAAATTCTTTGTTAATCGATTTTTCAAATTTGCAATTTTTGGATTTCCCAATTATCCGATTTTCCGACTTCTTTAATTTGCAATATTTGGGTTTTGCATTTTTTGAATTTTTAAGTTTCTCAATTTTAAATCTTTGTCAATTGCTCGATTTTGCAATTTTCTCTCCCAGTTTTTTCGATTTTTCGACTTTTCAGCTTTTCGATGTTTCGATTTTTCAGTTTTCCGAAATTTCATTTTTTCGTCCTTTCTGTTTTGGATTTTTTTTCAATTTTTCGAATCTTCACTTTTTAAATATTTTAATTTTTCAATTTTTTAAATTTTTTTCGAATTCTCGATTTTTCAATTTTTCGAATTTTTAGATTTTTGATTTTTAAGTTTTTCTTTTATTTTGATTTTTCAAGTTTTTGATTTCTTAATTTTTCAACAATTCAGTTTTGGTAATTTTTCAATTTTTCGATATTTGAATTTTTAAGGATTTTTAAATTTTTGGAGTTTTATCCTTTGAATTTTTCGGGTTTAAATGGCTCGAGTTTTCGATTTTTCGACTTTTCGGATTTCGATTTTTCGGTTTTTAGCCATTTCGATTTAAATTTTTTGATGTTTCGATTTTTCAATTTTTGGATTTCTTGATTTTCTACCCTTTCTGTTTTGGAATTTTTCAATTTTTTGTTTTTTAAATTTGGGATCTTCCGATTTTCTCAATTTTTTGATTTTTCAAAATTTTGATTTTTAAATTCTAGATTTTCCGATTTTTTGATGTTTCGATTTATCGATTTTTTAATTTTTCGGTTCTTGTTTTTCAATTTCTCGTATTAAAAATTTTTGGATTTCGTCAGTTTTTCGGTTTTTAAAATTTTACATTTTTCGATTTTTCAATTTTTCAATTTTACGACTTTTAGATTTTTAGATTTGTCGGTTTTTCAAGTTTTCAGTTTCTTAATTTTTGAACGTTTTTCAATTTTTCAATTTTTTCATGCTTCAATTTCTCGATTTTTCAATTTTTCGAACCCTGAATTTTCAACATTTTAGTTTTGGGAATTTTTCAAGTTTTCGATATTTTAATTTTTTAAATTTAAAAATTTTAAATTATTTGCTATTTCAATTGTTTGTTTCGATTGTTCGGTTTTTGGTTATTTCCATTTTCTGATGTTCTGATTTTGTGATTTCTCGATTTTTTAATTTCCAGCTTTTCGATTTTCCAATTTTTCAATGTTCGATTTTTCAGTTTTTCGATTTCCCAATTTTTCTGTTACGAAATTTTTCAATTTCTTGACTTTCTAATATTTAGATTTTTCAATTTTCTGACATTTCAACTTTTCGATTTTTCAATTTTTTGAGATTTTTTGATATTCCGATTTCCCGATTTTTCAACTTTTCGAATCTACAATTTTCAATATTTAATTTGTCAATGTCTTAAAGATTCCTCGATTTTTCAATTTGTCAGTTCTTCCATATTGCTCTTTTTTTCAATTTTTCGATTTTTCGATTTTTTTTAATTTTGGATTTTTCATTTTTTGAATTTTTAAGTTTCTCAATTTTAAATCTTTGTCGATTGCTCGATTTTGCAATTTTCTTAATTTTTCAACAATTCAGTTTTGGTAATTTTTCAATTTTTCGATATTTGAATTTTTATGGATTTTTAAATTTTTGCAGTTTTATCCTTTGAATTTTTCGGATTTAAATGGCTCGAGTTTTCGATTTTTCGACTTTTCGGAATCCGATTTTTCGGTTTTTAGGCATTTCGATTTTTCAATTTTTCGATTTCCTGATTTTCTGCCCTTTCTGTTTTGGAATTATCCAATTTTTCGTTTTTTAATTTTTCGAATTTATAAATTTGGGATCTTTCGATCTCTCAATTTTTTGATTTTTCAATATTTTGATTTTTAAATTCTAGATTTTCCGATTTTTTTATGTTTCGGTTTATCGATTTTTTAATTTTTCGGTTCTTCGATAATGCTCTATTTTTCAATTTTTCGTATTAAAAATTTTTGGATTTTGTCAGTTTTTCGGTTTTTGAAATTTTACATTTTTCGATTTTTCAATTTTTCAATTTTACGATTTTTAGATTTTTAGATTTCTCGGTCTTTCAAGTTTTCAGTTTCTTAATTTTTGAACGTTTTTCAATTTTTCAATTTTTTCATGCTTCAATTTCTCGATTTTTCAATTGTTCGAACCCTGAATTTTCAACATTTCAGTTTTGGGAATTTTTCAAGTTTTAGATATTTTAATATTTCAGATTTTTGAATTTAAAATTTTTAAATTATTTGATATTTCAATTGCTTGTTTCGATTATTCGGTTTTTGGCTATTTCTATTTTCTGATGTTCTGATTTTGTGATTTCTCGGTTTTTTAATTTCCAGATTTTCGATTTTCCAATTTTTCAATGTTCGATTTTTCAGTTTTTCGATTTCCCAATTTTTCTGTTACGAAATTTTTCAATTTCTTGACTTTCTAATATTTAGATTTTTCAACTTTTCGATTTTGCAATTTTTTGAGATTTTTTGATATTCCGATTTCCCGATTTTTCAACTTTTCGAATCTACAATTTTCAATATTTAATTTGTCAATGTTTTAAAGATTCCTCGATTTTTCAATTTGTCAGTATTGCTCTATTTTTCAATTTTTCGATTTTTCAATTTTTTTAAATTTTGGATTTTTCATTTTTTTAATTTTTAAGTTTCTCAATTTTAAATCTTTGTCGATTGCTCGATTTTGCAATTTTCTCTCCCAGTTGCTTAATTTTTCGATGTTTCCAATTTTTGTTTTCTCAGTTTTTTCGATTTTTCGACTTTTCAGCTTTTCGATTTTCCAATGTTTCGATGTTTCGATTTTTCAGTTTTCCAAAATCTCATTTTTTCGTCCTTTCTCTTTTGGATTTTTTTTCAATTTTTCGAATCTTCACTTTTTAAATATTTTAATTTTTCAATTTTTTAATTTTTTTCCAAATAATCGAGTTTTCAGTTTTTCGAATTTTTGGATTTTTGATTTTTAAGTTTTTCTTTTATTCTGTTTTACATTTTAGTTTTTCGATTTTACGATTTTTTGATTCTTCGATTTTTAAAATTCTTCGAATTTTTGAGTTTTAGATTTCTCGATTTTTCAAGTTTTTGATTTCTTAATTTTTCAACAATTCAGTTTTGGTAATTTTTCAATTTTTCGCTATTTGAATTTTTAAGGATTTTAAAATTTTTGGAGTTTTATTCTTTGAATTTTTCGGGTTTAAATGGCTCGAGTTTTCGATTTTTCGACTTTTCGGATTTCGATTTTTCGGTTTTTAGCCATTTCGATTTCTCAATTTTTCGATGTTTCGATTTTTCAATTTTTCGATTTCCTGATTTTCTGCCCTTTCTGTTTTGGAATTTTTCATTTTTTTGTTTTTTAAATTTTCAATTTTTTAAATTTGGGATCTTTCGATTTTCTCAATTTTTTGATTTTTCAAAATTTTGATTTTTAAATTCTAGATTTTCCGATTTTTTGATGTTTCGATTTATCGATTTTTTAATTTTTCGGCTCTTCGATAATGCTCTATTTTTCGTATTAAAAATTTTTGGATTTTGTCAGTTTTTCGGTTTTTGAAATTTTACATTTTTCGATTTTTCAATTTTTCAGTTTTACGACTTTTTGATTTTTAGATTTCTCGGTTTTTCAACTTTTCAATTTCTTAATTTTTGAACGTTTTCCAATTTTTCGATATTTTCATGCTTCAATTTCTCAATTTTTCAATTTTTCGAATCCTGAATTTTCAACATTTCAGTTTTGGGAATTTTTCAATTTTTCGATATTTGTTTTTTCAGATTTTTAAATTTAAAATTTTTAAATTATTTGATATTTCAATTGCTTGTTTCGATTATTCGGCTATTTCCATTTTCTGTTGTTCTGATTTTGTGATTTCTCCGTTTTTTAATTTCCAGATTTTCGATTTTCCAATTTTTCAATGTTCGATTTTTCAGTTTTTCGATTTCCCAATTTTTCTGTTACGAAATTTTTCAATTTCTTGACTTTCTAATATTTAGATTTTTCAATTTTCCGATATTTCAACTTTTCGATTTTGCAATTTTTTGAGATTTTTTGATATTCCGATTTCCCGATTTTTCAACTTTTCGAATCTACAATTTTCAATATTTAATTTGTCAATGTTTTAAAGGTTCCTCGATTTTTCAATTTGTCAGTTCTTCCATATTGCTCTATTTTTCAATTTTTCGATTTTTCGATTTTTTTAAATTTTGGATTTTTCATTTTTTGAATTTTTAAGTTTCTCAATTTTAAATCTTTGTCGATTGCTCGATTTTGCAATTTTCTCTCCCCGTTGCTTAATTTTTCGATGTTTCCATTTGTTGTTTTCTCAGTTTTTTCGATTTTTCGACTTTTCAGCTTTTCGATTTTCCAATGTTTCGATGTTTCGATTTTTCAGTTTTCCGAAATCTCATTTTTTCGTCCTTTGTTTTGGATTTTTTTTCAATTTTTAATCTTCACTTTTTAAATATCTTAATTTTTCAATTTTTTAACTTTTTTTCGAATACTCGAGTTTCCAGTTTTTCGAATTTTTCGATTTTTGATTTTTAAGTTTTTCTTTTATTCTGTTTTACATTTTAGTTTTTCGATTTTACGATTTTTTGATTCTTCGATTTTTAAAATTCTTCGAATTTTTGAGTTTTAGATTTCTCGATTTTTCAAGTTTTTGATTTCTTAATTTTTCAACAATTCAGTTTTGGTAATTTTTCAATTTTTCGATATTTGAATTTTTAAGGATTTTTAAATTTTTGGAGTTTTATCCTTTGAATTTTTCGGGTTTAAATGGCTCGAGTTTTCGATTTTTCGACTTTTCAGCTTTTCACTTTTCCAATGTTTCGATGTTTCGATTTTTCAGTTTTCCGAAATTTCATTTTTTCGTCCTTTGTTTTGGATTTTTTTCCAATTTTTCGAATCTTCACTTTTTAAATATCTTAATTTTTCAATTTTTTAACTTTTTTTCGAATACTCGAGTTTTCAATTTTTCGAATTTTTGGATTTTTGATTTTTAAGTTTTTCTTTTATTCTGTTTTACATTTTAGTTTTTCGATTTTACGATTTTTTGATTCTTCGATTTTTAAAATTCTTCGAATTTTTGAGTTTTAGATTTCTCGATTTTTCAAGTTTTTGATTTCTTAATTTTTCAACAATTCAGTTTTGGTAATTTTTCAATTTTTCGCTATTTGAATTTTTAAGGATTTTAAAATTTTTGGAGTTTTATTCTTTGAATTTTTCGGGTTTAAATGGCTCGAGTTTTCGATTTTTCGACTTTTCGGATTTCGATTTTTCGGTTTTTAGCCATTTCGATTTCTCAATTTTTCGATGTTTCGATTTTTCAATTTTTCGATTTCCTGATTTTCTGCCCTTTCTGTTTCGGAATTTTTCAATTTTTTGTTTTTTAAATTTTCCATTTTTTAAATTTGGGATCTTTCGATTTCTCAATTTCTTGATTTTTCAATATTTTGATTTTTAAATTCTAGATTTTCCGATTTTTTGATGTTTCGATTTATCAATTTTTTAATTTTTCGGTTCTTCGATAATGCTCTATTTTTCAATTTCTCGTATTAAAAATTTTTGGATTTTGTCAGTTTTTCGGTTTTTGAAATTTTATATTTTTCGATTTTTCAATTTTTCAATTTTACGGCTTTTAGATTTTTAGATTTCTCGGTTTTTCAAGTTTTCAGTTTCTTAATTTTTGAACGTTTTTCAATTTTTCAATTTTTTCATGTTTCAATTCTAGTTTTGGGAATTTTTCAATTTTTCGATATTTTAATTTTTCAAATTTTTAAATGATTTGATGTTTCAATTGCTTGTTTCGCTTGTTCGGTTTTTGGCTCTTTCCATTTTCTGATGTTCTGATTTTCTGATTTCTCGGTTTTTTTAATTTACAGATTTTCGATTTTCCAATATTTCGATGTTCGATTTTTCAGTTTTTCGATTTCCCAATTTTTCTGTTACAAAATTTTTCAATTTCTTGACTCTAATATTTAGATTTTTCGGTTTTTAGCCATTTCGATTTTTCAACTTTTCGATGTTTCGATTTTTCAATTTTTCGATTTCCTGATTTTCTCCTCTTTCTGTTTTGGAATTTTCCAATTTTTCGTTCTTTAATTTTTCGAATTTTTAAATTTGAGATCTTTCGATCTCTCAATTTTTTGATTTTTCAATATTTTGATTATTAAATTCTAGATTTTCCGAGTTTTTGATGTTTCGATTTATCGATTTTTTTATTTTTCGGTTCTTCGATGATGCTCTATTTTTCAAGTTTTCGTATTAAAAATTTTTGGATTTTGTCAGTTTTTCGATTTTTGAAATTTTACATTTTTCAATTTCTCGGTTTTTCAAGTTTTCAATTTCTTAATTTTTGAACGTTTTTCAATTTTTCGACTTTTCCCTTCTTCGGTTTTTCAAGTTGTCCATTTTTATTTTTCATTTTCCGAATTTATTAATTATCCTTTTTATATCACAATTTTTAGTTCCTTCATTTCCTTTATTTTTTCAATATTGATTTTTTCGGTTTTGTAATTTATTTTATAAAGTTTTACAAATTTTTAGTGTTTGTTAATCGATTTTTCAATTTTGCAATTTTTTGATTTTCCAATTATCCGATTTTCCGGCTTCTTTAATTTTCAATATTTGGGTTTTGCATTTTTTTGAATTTTTAAGTTTCTCAATTTTAAATCTTTGTCGATTGCTCGATTTTGCAATTTTCTCTCCCAGTTGCTCAATTTTTCGATGTGTCTATTTTTTGTTTTCTCGATTTTTTCAATTTTTCGACTTTTCAGCTTTTCGATTTTCCAATGTTTCGATGTTTCGATTTTTCAGTTTTCCGAAATCTCATTTTTTCGACCTTTCTGTTTTGGATTTTTTTGCAATTTTTCGAATCTTCACCTTTTAAATATATTAATTTTTCAATTTTTTAAATTTTTTCCAAATATTCGAGTTTTCAGTTTTTCGAATTTTTGGATTTTTGATTTTTAAGTTTTTCTTTTATTCTGTTTTACATTTTAGTTTTTCGATTTTACGATTTTTTAATGTTTCGATTTTTAAAATTCTTCGAATTTTTGAGTTTTAGATTTCTCGATTTTTTTGGTTTCTTAATTTTTCGACAATTCAGTTTTGGTAATTTTTCGTTTTTTCGATATTTGAATTTTTAAGGATTTTTAAATTTTTGGAGTTTTATCCTTAGAATTTTTCGGGTTTAAATGGCTCGAGTTTTCGATATTTCGATTTTTCAATTTTTCGATTTCCTGATTTTTTGCCCTTTCTGTTTTGGAATTTTTCAATTTTTTGTTTTTTAAATTTTCAATTTTTTAAATTTTGGATCTTTTGATTTCTCAATTTTTTGATTTTTCAATATGTATTGTGATTTTTAAATTCTAGATTTTCCGATTTTTTGATGTTTCGATTTATCGATTTTTTAACTGTTCGGTTCTTCGATAATGCTCTATTTTTCAATTTTTCGTATTAAAAATTTTTGGATTTTGTCAGTTTTTCAATTTTTCAATTTTACGACTTTTTGATTTTTAGATTTCTCGGTTTTTGAAGTTTTCAGTTTCTTAATTTTTGAACGTTTTTCAATTTTACGATTTTTTCTTGCTTCAATTTCTCGATTTTTTAATTTTTCGAACGTTGAATTTTCAACATTTCAGTTTTGGGAATTTTTCAATTTTTCGATATTTTAATTTTTGATGATTTTTAAATTTTTGGAGTTTTAAACTTTTGAATTTTTCGGGTTTAAATTGCTCGAGTTTTCGATTTTTCGACTTTTCGGATTCCGATTTTTTGGGTTTTTAGCCATTTCGATTTTTCAATTTTTCGATGCTTCGATTTTTCAATTTTTCGAGATTTTTTGATGTTCCGATTTCACGATTTTTCATTTTGTTAGTTCTTCCATATTGCTCTATTTTTCAATTTTTCGATTTTTCGATTTTTTTAAATTTTAGATTTTTCGATTTCCGGTTTTTAGATTTTTCCACTTTTCAATTTTTCAATTTCTCGGTTTTAAAATTTTTCAGTTCTTTGATAAAGGATTTAAAAGTTTTCGCAGTGTTTAGATTTTTCGATTTCTTTAGTTTTCCGATTTTTAGATTTTTCAGTTTTTCAATATTTAAAAGTTCCTTTGAAATAACCTTCGACCAATTTTTTGTTATTGATACATAAACGTTATAACCAAAATTCTTGGCCTCACCTTGCTTAAACACCACGGGCCGCCACTGTAACCAAAACCTTGTTATCATCAATGACTTAATCGTCTTTAGATAAAAGATAACACTAAACCTGTATTAAGAAAATGCATAATTAACACATTTTCATCCATAATGTGCGACCAAGGTAAATTTCCACTCTTCTCATCGACCATCGCTAATTCCACCTTTCTATTCCAGAAATTCTAACATGCAGACGCACCCTCTCCATCATGGTCATCACCTGCTTCTGCCTCCTCCAAATGCACCGAGTGAACCTCTCCATAGCAATAGTACCCATGACCTCCAACACCACCAGCGACCACTTCGACTGGACCGAAAAACAAAAAGGTGACATCCTAGGTTCTATCCTGTGGGGCCAAATGGTAATGTCAGTTCCCGGCGGCCGCCTTTCCGAAATTTACGGAACAAGAATCCTTCTGGGCACCATGATGGTCCTAGCCAGCGTTTTAACACTCCTCACTCCCTTCATAGCCCACTACAACTACCACATGCTACTTTTGAGCCGCGTGGGCGTGGGTTTGATGATGGGCGTCGTCAACACGTGCATTCCAGCAATGGCGATCCGATGGGTTGCCCCTACACACATGTCGAAATTCTTGTCGCACACCAGAGCGATTCATCTGGGTGGGGCTTTAACCCTCCCGATTTGTGGCTACGTGATTGCGAATTGGGGTTGGAAGCAGGTTTTTTTTCTAACTGGAGGGTTGTCAGTGGTGTGGACCATCTTCTGGTTTGGTCTCGTGTACGATTCGCCGTCTGAACATCCAAGAATCAGCGTGGAAGAAATCGAGTCGATTCGCAAAGGAATCACTTGCGATTTTGGTAGTCTTCGCAAAAAGGATATTCCGTGGGGAAAAATTTTGGCATCGCGTCCAGTCTGGGCTAATGTTGTTTCCTCAGCTTGTGTGTTCTTTTCAGTTAACTTAGCTATCAATAATTTGCCGTCGTACATGAACCAAGTCCTACAGTACGACATCAAGCAAAACGGTCTTCTATGTAGTTTGCCGTATTTAGGTAAGGTACTTAAGTAAGGTTAAGTAAGGACTTAACGAAGGTGTTTTGGTAGCCATGTACTTGTCGGCGTTTGGCTCATCCCATTGGGCTGATCGTTGGTACAAGACCAGCAAGTTTAGCAAGTCCACCATAAGGACTATTTTCGTTGTGTTGACTTTTGGGGGACCAGCTGGGATGTTCGCAGTAGCTGCTTTCTATGGAGATCGACCGAAGGTTTGTGTGGTCGTGTTTGTTTTATGGTTGAGTTTCTCTGGGTGTTCTGTACCATCGCTTAATGCCAATGTTGTCGATTTTGCACCCACGTACGTCGGTACCATTTTTGGGATAATGCAAATGGTGGGGGCGTTAGCTGGTTACGGTCAGACTAAGCTGGTGGCTGTTGCTGTTCAAGAGGGTCAAGGCTTGAGTCAATGGAAATTTGTTTTCTGGGTGATGATGGGTGTAAACTTGTTTGGAATGGTGGTGTTCCTGCTGTTTAGTTCCACCGAAGTACAGAGTTGGAATTTGAGTTCTGAAGATGCGGAAGTGGAGAAAAGGGGTGATGGTGATGAGATCCCATTGCAAGGGAAAATTTTAAAGATTACTACATAAATGTGAATGGTCGAGCATCAATAAAATACTCAATGAATCGTTCGCGAAGGTGGTTTCTATTTAAACCCATACTTCCCGTCTAGATATTTCACGATCGAGGTTTTCTGGAGTACCCATCGCGACTTCAGTTTCAGTTTTTCGATTTTTTAATTTTTCGGGTTTTCACTTTTGTGGTATTTTAATTTTTCAATTTTTTAAAGCTTTTTCGATTCTACGATTTTTCAATTTTTCGAATTTTAAAATTGCAACATTGAAAAAAAATGTAGTAAAGAAAAATTGTAAAATTGAAAAAACCGAGAAATCTAAAAATCAAAAAGTCGTAAAATTGAAAATTAGAAAAATATAAAATTTTAAAAACCGAAAAACTGACAAAATCCAAAAATTTTTAATACGAAAAATCGAAAAATAGAACATTTTTTGAGCTCTACAACTCACTTCCGGCCTCGATTCTTTGATAACTGCAACCGTTTTTCCGGAATCGTCCGTTGAAATATCGAAATTTTTAGAAATTCTCAAAAATTCGCATTTCGTATCGATTCTTTCTAAAATGTTGCTCCCTGACCATCCACACCCTATATTTTTGAAATCAGCGTGTCGAGATCTACGTCCCTGAATTTTTTCAGAATTTTTAGACGGCTTTTTTAAAACTGAAATTTTTCCAATGGTCCCCCCTTCTTCAAATTTCGGCCAAATGTTGACATTTTCGAAACTTAACTGAATACATTTTCTGGTAGATTTCGAGCTCTAGAACTCACTTCCGGCCTCGATTCTTTGATAACTGCAACCGTTTTTCCGGAATCGTCCGTTGAAATATCGAAATTTTTAGAAATTCTCAAAAATTCGCATTTCGTATCGATTCTTTCTAAAATGTTGCTCCCTGACCATCCACACCCTATATTTTTGAAATCAGCGTCTCGAGATCTACGTCCCTGAATTTTTTCAGAATTTTAAGACGACTTTTTTAAAACTGAAATTTTTCCAATGGTCCCCCCTTCTTCAAATTTCGGCCAAATTTTGACATTTTCGAAACTTAACTAAAAATATTTTCTGGTAGATTTCGAGCTCTAGAACTCACTTCCGGCCTCGATTCTTTGATAACTGCAACCGTTTTTCCGGAATCGTCCGTTGAAATATCGAAATTTTTAGAAATTCTCAAAAATTCGCATTTCGTATCGATTCTTTCTAAAATGTTGCTCCCTGACCATCCACACCCGATATTTTTGTAATCAGCGTGTCGAGATCTACGTCCCTGAATTTTTTCAGAATTTTTAGACGACTTTTTTAAAATTGAAATTTTTCCAATGGTCCCCCCTTCTTCAAATTTCGCCCAATTTTTGACATTTTCGAAATTTAACTGAATACATTTTCTGGTGGATTTCGAGCTCTAGAACTCACTTCCGGCCTCGATTCTGTGATAACTGCAACCGTTTTTCCGGAATCGTCCGTTGAAATATCGAAATTTTTAGAAATTCTCAAAAATTCGCATTTCGTATCGATTCTTTCTAAAATGTTGCTCCCTGACCATCCAAACCCTATATTTTTGTAATCAGCGTGTCGAGATCTACGTCCCTGAATTTTTTCAGAATTTTTAGACGACTTTTTTAAAACTGAAATTTTTCCAATGGTCCCCCCTTCTTCAAATTTCGGCCAAATTTTGACATTTTCGAAACTTAACTGAATACATTTTCTGGTAGATTTGGAGCTCTAGAACTCACTTCCGGCCTCGATTCTTTGATAACAGCAACCGTTTTTCCGGAATCGTCCTTTGAAATATCCAAATTTTTAGAAATTCTCAAAAATTCGCATTTCGTATCGATTCTTTCTAAAATGTTGCTCCCTGACCATCCACACCCGATATTTTTGTAATCAGCGTGTCGAGATCTACGTCCCTGAATTTTTTCAGAATTTTTAGACGACTTTTTTAAAATTGAAATTTTTCCAATGGTCCCCCCTTCTTCAAATTTCGCCCAATTTTTGACATTTTCGAAATTTAACTGAATACATTTTCTGGTGGATTTCGAGCTCTAGAACTCACTTCCGGCCTCGATTCTGTGATAACTGCAACCGTTTTTCCGGAATCGTCCGTTGAAATATCGAAATTTTTAGAAATTCTCAAAAATTCGCATTTCGTATCGATTCTTTCTAAAATGTTGCTCCCTGACCATCCACACCCTATATTTTTGTAATCAGCGTGTCGACATCTACGTCCCTGAATTTTTTTAGAATTTTTAGACGACTTTTTTAAAACTGAAATTTTTCCAATGGTCCCCCCTTCTTCAAATTTCGGCCAAATTTTGACATTTTCGAAACTTAACTGAATATATTTTCTGGTAGATTTCGAGCTCTAGAACTCACTTCCGGCCTCGATTCTTTGATAACTGCAACCGTTTTTCCGGAATCATCCGTTGAAATATCGACATTTTTAGAAATTCTCAAAAATTCGCATTTCATAGCGATTCTTTCGAAAATGTTGCTCCCTGACCATCCACACCCTATATTTTTGAAATCAGCGTGTCAAGATCTACGTCCCTGAATTTTTTCAGAATTTTTTGATGACTTTTTTAAAACTGAAATTTTTCCAATAGTCCCCCCCTTCTTCAAATTTCGGCCAAATTTTGACATTTTCGAAACTCAACTGAATACATTTTCTGGTAGATTTCGAGCTCTAGAACTCACTTCCGGCCTCGATTCTTTGATAACTGCAACCGTTTTTCCGGAATCGTTCGTTGAAATATCGAAATTTCTAGAAATTCTCAAAAATTCGCATTTCGTATCGATTCTTTCTAAAATGTTGCTCCCTGACCATCCACACCCTATATTTTTGAAATCAGCGTGTCGAGATCTACGTCCCTGAATTTTTTCAGAATTTTTAGACGACTTTTTTAAAACTGAAATTTTTCCAATGGTCCCCCCTTCTTCAAATTTCGGCCAAATTTTGACATTTTCGAAACTTAACTGAATACATTTTCTGGTAGATTTCGAGCTCTAGAACTCACTTCCGGCCTAGATTCTTTGATAACTGAAACCGTTTTTCCGGAATCGTCCATTGAAATATCGAAATTTTTAGAAATTCTCAAAAATTCGCATTTCGTATCGATTCTTTCTAAAATGTTGCTCCCTGACCATCCACACCCTATATTTTTGAAATGAGCGTGTCGAGATCTACGTCCCTGAATTTTTTCAGAATTTTTAGACGAATTTTTTAAAACTGAAATTTTTCCAATGGTCCCCCCTTCTTCAAATTTCGGCCAAATTTTGACATTTTCGAAACTTAACTGAATACATTTTCTGGTAGATTTCGAGCTCTAGAACTCACTTCCGGCCTTTATTCTTCGATAACTGCAACCGTTTTTCCGGAATCGTCCGTTGAAATATCGAAATTTTTAGAAATTCTTAAAAATTTATATTTCGTATCGATTTTTTCTAAAATGATGCTCCGTGACAATCCACACCCTATATTTTTGTGATCAGCGTGTCGAGATCTACGTCCCTGAATTTTTTTAGAATTTTCAGACCACTTTTTTAAAACTGAAATTTTTCCAATGGTCCCCCCTTCTTCAAATTTCGGCCAAATTTTGCCATTTTCGAAACTTAACTAAATACATTTTCTGGTAGATTTCGAGCTCTAGAACTCACTTCCGGGATCGATTCTTTGATAACTGCAACCGTTTTTCCGGAATCGTTCGTTGAAATATCGAAATTTCTAGAAATTCTCAAAAATTCGCATTTCGTATCGATTCTTTCTAAAATGTTGCTCCCTGACCATCCACACTCTATATTTTTGAAATCAGCGTGTCGAGATCTACGTCCCTGAATTTTTTCAGAATTTTTAGACGACTTTTTTAAAACTGAAATTTTTCCAGTGGTCCCCCCTTCTTCAAATTTCGGCCAAATTTTGACATTTTCGAAACTTAACTGAATACATTTTCTGGTAGATTTGGAGCTCTAGAACTCACTTCCGGCCTCGATTCTTTGATAACAGCAACCGTTTTTCCGGAATCGTCCTTTGAAATATCCAAATTTTTAGAAATTCTCAAAAATTCGCATTTCGTATCGATTCTTTCTAAAATGTTGCTCCCTGACCATCCACACCCGATATTTTTGTAATCAGCGTGTCGAGATCTACGTCCCTGAATTTTTTCAGAATTTTTAGACGACTTTTTTAAAATTGAAATTTTTCCAACGGTCCCCCCTTCTTCAAATTTCGCCCAATTTTTGACATTTTCGAAATTTAACTGAATACATTTTCTGGTGGATTTCGAGCTCTAGAACTCACTTCCGGCCTCGATTCTGTGATAACTGCAACCGTTTTTCCGGAATCGTCCGTTGAAATATCGAAATTTTTAGAAATTCTCAAAAATTCGCATTTCGTATCGATTCTTTCTAAAATGTTGCTCCCTGACCATCCAAACCCTATATTTTTGTAATCAGCGTGTCGAGATCTACGTCCCTGAATTTTTTCAGAATTTTTAGACGACTTTTTTAAAACTGAAATTTTTCCAATGGTCCCCCCTTCTTCAAATTTCGGCCAAATTTTGTCATTTTCGAAACTTAACTAAATACATTTTCTGGTAGATTTCGAGCTCTAGAACTCACTTCCGGCCTCGATTCTTTGATAACTGCAACCGTTTTTCCGGAATCGTCCGTTGAAATATCGAAATTTTTAGAAATTCTCAAAAATTCGCATTTCGTATCGATTCTTTCTAAAATGTTGCTCCCTGACCATCCACACCCTATATTTTTGTAATCAGCGTGTCGACATCTACGTCCCTGAATTTTTTTAGAATTTTTAGACGACTTTTTTAAAACTGAAATTTTTCCAATGGTCCCCCCTTCTTCAAATTTCGGCCAAATTTTGACATTTTCGAAACTTAACTGAATATATTTTCTGGTAGATTTCGAGCTCTAGAACTCACTTCCGGCCTCGATTCTTTGATAACTGCAACCGTTTTTCCGGAATCATCCGTTGAAATATCGACATTTTTAGAAATTCTCAAAAATTCGCATTTCATAGCGATTCTTTCGAAAATGTTGCTCCCTGA